CCACTTCGCGCACCCCCCTTCTGCCCCAAGCCTGGTGTGTGACATTCCTGGGCAGCGCCTCTGCTGTTCCCAGTCAGACTCCAGCCCAGCGACAGAAGCTCTCCTCTCCACCTTTCACTTTATAGAGAAACCCAAAGATTTTGTCTCTCAGAGTACAAGGAACTGGTCCCCTCTCTATAAACATGAGCAAGAACTAAGGGTTTGTAAATGAACCAGAAGTTGGTTATCTGTAATCATGTATTTTGCACCCATTCCCTGCCCTTGTGTCTGGAGATTCAGGGAAGGGAGGAGCTTCATAATGTTTTCCCTCCTTGTTCAAAAACCTTATCATGAAGCCTGAGAATGAAGTATTAAGCAGGGAGTACTTGCCCTCCATTTCCCCCAATGCCCAGGCTGCTGTTTTTATTTAATATCTGCTTAGCTGGTGATAGTTAAGGGGCTTGGTTCCTGCACATGGTGCTGAGTGGCGGTGGTGGTGGGGAAGCAGAAGTTTGTGGCCCAACGGCTCTGTCATGGGGCCTTGTGAGGGACTTGGAGTTGGAGCCTGGTGGCCCAGCCGGTGCTCTGGGTCACAGCAATTAGGCTGCTGGGAGGCCGGTGCCTGAGCAGCTCTCCAGCTGCCTGAGGAGAGGGAGGACTGGGCCAGGTGAGGGTGTTCTGCCGGCCAGCATGGGCGTTTTTGATGAGGACTCTGTGGGATCTGAGGATTGGTAATAGTTTGGGGGGTTCCGCATTGTGAGACACCAGCTCCGCATATCTTCTCTAACATTCTTTAAGGAGCAAGGAAGAAGAGAGAGGGATTCAGTGTTGTGCTTCTCTTTATTGTTAGAGGCCCCGAGAGCCCGAAAAGAAGTTTGATTTAGTCTAGTCTAAAAATCTTTAAAAAGAAAGAAATTAATTTGATCAATTTTTAATTAAAAAAAGAAATTAATTTGATCAATTTTAAAATTTAAGTCAATGTATCCAAAACATTAATCAACATGTCATCGTTATACAAAATGACTAGTGGGATATTTATATTCTTTTTCTCATAAGTCTTTGAAGTCCAGTGTGTAGTTTACTCTTACAGCACATCTCAGTGCAGTAAGAGTATTATTTTTTTTTTTCTCTTTGTAAAGAGTTCAGGCTTTACAAAATGCTAAAGTCCATCTTAGACCTTCCCCTCCTCCGGGTTCTGATGCTGAGTCTCAGTTCCTCTACGGCTTGGCTTAATTAACCCCTGTGTTGCTGCCCAGGAGGATGCCAGTGGAGGTGGAGGAAATGATCGAGTGCGGAACTTGCAGAGTGAGGTGGAGGGAGTCAAGAATATTATGACTCAGAATGTGGAGCGGATCCTGGCCCGAGGAGAAAACTTAGACCACCTTCGCAACAAGACAGAGGATCTGGAAGCCACAGTAAGATGGGGAACCCACTGGGGGCAAGAGAAAAGAGAGGGAGGGAAGATCTTAGAGAATTTGGGGGTTGGTGGTATTGGGGGCAAAACGAACAGGAGGGAGGTCAGCCTCTTTACCTGTTTTGGGAATTGACGTAGGCGGAGCCCCGGCTGCTGATGCTGTTCTACTCCACTGATAGGTACTCATCCAGGGAATTGGCCCAATGACTGGGGCTGGTGGCTGGGGCTGATCCACAGAGGCGTTTTCTGAGACAGAGTAGTGAATCCAGGCATTTCTCCTGTGAAATTGATTTTCTTTTTGAAGGCTGCCTCTGACAATCGTTCGAACCTGGCCTCCCCCGGGGCAAAATATTGGCTTTGGAAAATCCTCCTAGGGCCTTTGGCCTTCTCCAGGAGTTATGAGGCAGGGGGTGAAAAACCGGTAAAGGCTTGCTGAGCCATCTTTATAAAGAAGCGGAAAAAGAGCAGTGACATTCTTTGACGGTGACCTCTGCTAGCTGAAGGCTGGGATAGTGTGCCCCACACATCTCGCTAGACCTCATTCTTCTCTGTCTCCAGCCAGGGGCCAAAGCCAGGTGCTCAGGAAGGAAGTAACCCTAAAGTTCAACGAAGTCTGGAGCCTGAAGGGCCTTGTCCATGGGGAGACGCTGGCTGCAGCTCTATGAGTCCTTCGTGTAGTCATGGGCATAGCCCCTTTGCCTCCCTGGGACTTAGAGCTTCTTTCCACAGCATGACCTGGGGAGACGGCCCAGTGAAACTTAGTTTCTGTGCCTCCAGTTTGGAGAGAAAGCACTTTCCCTCCCTTCCAACCACCGTATTTCCCTGGCCCCTTCTCCAATGTCTGCAGCCCCACGGGGCAAGGAGTCACGGTCCCTGTCCCTCCCAAGGGGCGGATTGTGCTGCCAGTGGCACAACCCCAGGTGTGAGCACGTGTAAAGGTTCCTACAGGGTGCGTGAATGTGGGGTGAGAAGAGGGGGGGGGCCTGCAGGGGGAGCCCAGGATTTCTAAATTTAAGCTTAGCCCAGCAGATGGTCATGAAAGTACTGTATTTGTCAAGGTAGGGGGACAGGACGCTTTCTTTTTACCAGTCTGTTACCTCAACTTGTCACTTAAATATTTAGATGTATGGCGTGCGGGTCTGGGTTGGTCCCTTCGTTCCAGCTGGAGGAGGCGCTGAGTCATTCTCTCTCATTCCCTACAGTCCGAGCACTTCAAGACAACCTCGCAGAAGGTGGCTCGGAAGTTCTGGTGGAAGAATGTGAAGATGATCGTCCTCATCTGCGTGGTTGCTTTTATCATCATCCTCTTAATTGCGCTCTTTGTCTCTGGTGTCATCCCCTAAGTGACTTAGGGAGCCCCTCCCACCTTGCCCTCCTCTTCCTGGCATTCCTCCATGGTGGGCGTCCAGAGGGGCCCTCTTTCCCATCCAACTCCACAGGGAATGCTGCTCAGTCCTCTGTCCCCTCACTCTGAGGTCCCTCTGCCACACACTGCCTGCCCCAGGAAGGACCTTGGTCACCCGCAAGGAGAGAGCTGGAGTGTGGCTGCATTTCGTGTGTCCTCAGAATTGGGTGGAGAGACCCGGAGAGCCCAGCATGTGGCTGGGACACTGATGGTGGCTGGTGGGCAATAAAGACCCTTCAGTATCCCTACATTTGTGAACATTTGTGAGGCGCTTTCTCCCTTTGTATTTGGTCTTTGTCCTTTTTATCCCCGAGGACACCCTCTGGCTGAGATTCTCCCATTCGTGTCCCAAGTTGTTGGAGGTGGGGAGAGTGTAGTTTTGGAGAAGAAGGATGGAGCCTCCCTTTTTTCTTTATTCCCTCTTGCTCCATTCAGGATCACAGGACTCAAGAACATTTTCTGGGAGCCTTGGCACATGGAATATGCAAAACCTTCACAGCATTTTTGGATGGTATGCAAGGCTCCTGAGTGTCCCCCTTGGGTCTTCCCATTTCCCTTCATTACGTTTCTGATGGAAATGTTAAGTGAGACATGAGGCCTCCCTGGGCTGTACATCCAGGAATCTGGTGAAGGGCCTCCTGTCTCTCCCATCATTGCCGTTTCTCTTCCGTGGCCCTGTTGTAGCCTAGAGTCAGGGTCAGGGGAACTGGACTGCTTTTCCTTCTGTGGTTCTGCCAATTCTATGGGTCTTTTGCCTGCTCCTGCCCTTCTGGGACTGAGCAGGGCCACTGGGGCTCAGCTGTTCTCAGGGGGCGAGCATCCCTCCCGAGTGCCTGCGGCTGAGCACAGTCAGCATCGCAGGACAGGGCCTCTGGCTCTCCTTCCCCTCTGAGGACAAAGGGACTCTGTCTTTGTGCCTCCCTCCTCCCCGCCAGGTTGCACTGCCATTGTCACTCTTTCCAGTGCGCAGTCTGTCTTAGTTTGGGGAAAGGCTTCTTGCTATCTCTGTCCCTATTTCCCCCACAGGTTTTCCAAAATTGAAAACAAACTTCGGGGAAGGACCGTGGGATGGGCAGCGTTGGGAGACAGGATCTGGGACTAGTACCGCACCAAAAACGGGAGGAGGAGGAAAGCACAGAACAGACTTCCGGCCAGTCTTTGCCGAGACGATGGCCGTCCTCTGTCCACTGCTGGACTTTAGGGCCAAGGAACTGGGCGAATCCTCTTCCTCAGACCCAGCCTGTCTAGGGTGGGGGCTGGGTTTGTGCTCACAGGGGACCAGCCCCGGACGGAGAGGGAAGACCTCAACGCCCTTCCTCAAGAGGGGCCACGTATTTTATTCAAATGTTAGGAGAAAGCTTATTTAGAAAGCTACGGAAGTAGTAGAAGTGAGCGAGCTGGGCTGCCTAGGCTCAGGAAATGAGTTACAGAAGCAAAAAAAAAAAGGGGGGCCTTTGGGAAGGTCAATGGTAATGTGCCTGAGGGGAGAAGAGGGGAAAGGGAAGGCCAGAGGGGCCCCATTTGAGGTGTAGGTGGTGGCACGGGGTGGGGTCAACAGGTGACTGTTGAACCCCTGCAGCAATGAGGAGAGGATGAGGATGGGGAGATTCACCTCGGGAGGGGCGAGGGGGGGGCAGTAAGCACAACAGCCTCTCACGTCCTGTCACTGAAGCGGAGGATCAGATCTGGGCGGGGCTGCACTTGTCCTCCCGGGAAATACAGGAAAGCTAGAGCTGGCGCTTTCCCACCACGGGTCTGTTTTTTAATTGAAATTAAAAAACATGAAATTCACATAACATACCTTTGACCAGTTAAAGACATACAATTCAGCGGCAGGGAATACATTCATAATGTTTATTGTGAATAAACTTTTTTTAGTTTCAAAACTTTGGGGGGATCTGTTTCTGGTTAAGGGTGAGATGCGCTCACCAGGGGTGCAAAGACCCTCATCAGGGTGGCAAAGACCCCCGCCTGGATGTCTCAGGCGTCTCCAGCGCCCAGCCGTGCCTGACAATGGTGCTCACACAGTTGCTTGTTGAGTGCATGAATCGGGCCTCCCCAAGTAAACCCAATCCATCTGACCTTGGATGCAGCCCCAGAGAGACCTGGCTGAGGCCCGCCCCCTCCCGCACCGCGCCCATTTCATAGATTGGGCCCCCGGGCTGTTGCCAGTACGTAGACCTGGTGTCAGGCTGCTCAGGCTCAGCCCCAGGGCAAGGGGCTGGGGAGTCGTCTGAAGTTGGGCGGAGGAGGCACCCCAAGGACCCTGGTCAGCGTAGCAGACTGCTTTCGATTTTGGACTTAGTATCCGCTGCTGGGGAAGGCGGGGCGCACCCCGCCTTCCCCCCCGCCCTTCTCTGCCCCTCCGCTTCCTCTCCACTCGGGTGTAGGAGCCTCTTTGCCCGCTGAGGTGCTGGAGCAGCCGGGCAGCGACTGCAGCAATGGTGAGGGCCCGGGCCGGGTGGGGCGGGCGGGGAGAGGGGCACAGGGTGAGCAAAGTGTGTGTGACTAGAGGAGTCCAAGGGCGGGGGCGCTCCAGGGACCGCAGGTCCACAGGCGAGGTACCACTCGGGCAGAGCTGGGGCCGGAGCTTCCACTGCCCTTGCAGATGGGGAGGGAAAGTGGAGTGAGCCCTATCAGGCTGCCTCTGTCCCGTGGCTGCCCCTGTCCCGCGTGGAGCGAGTGATACTTGACTCGCACTTCCCTGAGCCTAGTGGTTTCAAACATCAGCCTCAGAGTCAGACTGAAGTTCTGGTGATGGCCACTTACCTGCTGTGCGATCCTGGGAAAGTCACGTAACCCCCCTGAGCCTCCTTCTCATTTGTGAAGTGGGTCAGTAACACCTGCCTTGCTGGGTCCGTGTGAGGTTACAGGAGATAGAACTGCAGAGACCTACCTGCCCGGCACTCAGAACCCGCTCCTGAGAAGTGGTAGGCAACTGACGACCTCCAGCCCTTTCTGGGGCTGTGAGAAGTCAGGCCTGGCCCAGGGAGTTGGAAACCTGAGCAGATGAGGTGGTTGGAGATCGAGCCAGCATATGGCAGGCTACTGGAAGGGAAAGAGAAAGATGTTTATTACCAAAGTTCCACTGAAGTTATCAGAGTGTGACATAGGCCTGACTCCCTCGTAACCCTGATCTAGGGACACATTCCTGAGATGAGTCATCCACCACTCAGGCTGTAGATTCTGGCCTCTGTCCTCTTTTGCCATCTCCAAGGCAAAGGTGTCGGGAACAGGTGGTGCCAGTTGCTGTCCTCCCCTCCCCTTGGGAAAATGGGCCCAACAGGAAGCAGGCTCCGGGCTTTAAGATTCTGCTGCAGAAAAGCTGGCAGAGGTGTGATGGAAGGGCCCAGCTATGGGTCGCCATGCCTGGATGGCCTCACCGCCAGGGCTCTGGAGGCAGGAAGAGGAAGCTGGGCAGGAAGGTAGTGCTGAGCTCTAAGGCCATGCCAGGAAACTGAGGGTGGCTCTGAGGATGGGACGGAGTCCAGGGCCCACTTCCCATCATGCAGGGCAAGGGATCAGGCAGGGACGGAGGTGGGCTTCCAGCTGACCCTTAGCAGTTGGGGTGAAGAAGCTCCTGAAATGAAGGCTGAGGGTAGGATAATTTATTGGGGGAAACTGGGACACTTGAACACTCACAGGTTGAGGCAAATAGTAGATCAGAGATTGGGAAGGGTACATAGATCTCTCTCCCTGTCCCATTTCCTGTCCCCGTTGCTATGTTCTTTCATTCCAGCCCTTTCCCTTCCTTCTTCCCATCCCCTTCCCCACCTGATCCTTCTTCCTTTCTCTTCTCCAACTTAATCAAATATTTCTTGTTTTTTCTTTGTACCAGACATGGTGATGGAAGGGTATCAGGGATAGAGTAGGAACCGTGATGGGAAAGATGGAAATAGAATGGGTAATAATGTGAATTCATTCATCTTATAGATAGTCCTCTCTCATGTGCTTCCCAAAGAATTTGGGTTTTGGCCTCTTTCACATGCAACAAGTTGGGTTGACAGCATCAAAAGGCCTGGTGGGTCTTTAGCCAGCCAGCTAAAGCATTTGGCCTCTCTTTGCCTACATTCAGTTTAGCACAAGTATTAAGAATGTGATCTTTGCCCTAGCCAGGTAGTTCAGTTGGTTGGAGTGTCCTCCATACACCAAAAGGCTGTGGGTTCGATCCCTGGTCAGAGCGAGTACCTAGGTTGTGGGTCTGATCTTCATTTGGGGCCGGTGAGAGAGGCAGCCAATCCATGTTTCCCTCTCACATCAGTGTTTCTCTCTTGTCCTTCCTCTCTCTCTAAAATCAATAAACATATCCTTGGGTGAGGGTTAAAAAAAAAGAATGCGGTCATTGAAAAAGAAAAAAGAATGTGATCTTCAGAATCTATGTTGGTTCAACTCCCAGGACTTCTACTCACTTGCTCTGTGACTCTGAGTGGACGATTTATCCCTTCTGAGCCTCAGTTTCTTATAAAACTGAGATACTAGTAATGTCCTCATTGGGTTGTTTCGAGGATTATTAAATGAGATAAAGGTAACAGAAAGGTAGCAACACTGCTTAGCTCAGAGTGGTGTCCACTGAGTGGTGGCTGTCATTGCCATCAAGACATAACACCTTCTCAACAGCCTGTAGAGCAGGGGTGTCAAACTCGTTTTCACCGGGGGCCACATCGGCCTCACGGTTGCCTTCAAAGGGCCAAATGTAATTTTAGGACTGTATAAATGTAACTACTCCGTACCAGTTCAGCGAGAGCTTGGTGCTGCTGCCGGGTGGAAATAACGTGGGGGGGCTGGATGGGGCCCGTGGGCCTTGTGTTTGCGACCTGTGCTGTAGCGCCCGATGGAAAGAAACTAGATGCAGGTCCTCAAAGACCCACGTAAAGTTCTGTATGTAGGTTAGAAAAAATTAAGGGCACAAGTTTATCATAAGAAGGAGCTTGCTTGGCTGTATGTTTTGTAAAAAACATCTAAAAGGTTTTTTTTTAATTTGTATTTTATTTTAAAAAATATTTTATTTATTTATTTTTAGAAAGAGGGGAAGGGAAGGAGAAAGAGTGGGAGAGAAACATCAATGTGTGGTTGCCTCTCATGTGTCCCCTGGGGACCTGGCCTGCAACCCAGGCATGGGCCCTGACTGGAAATCAAACCGGCGACCCTTTGCTTCACAGGCCCGTGCTCAATCCACTGAGCTAAGCCAGCCAGGGCTAAAAGGTTTTTTTTTAGCACAAGTATTGTGCAGTTCTTGGGATCTGTTAAAAACAAAAACAAAAACAAAAAAAACTGGCCCTGGTGTGGCTCAATAAAATGAGCTCAGGCCTACAAACCAAAAGGTCAGTGGTTCGACTCCCAGTCGGGTCCCACATGGGTTACAGGCCAGGTCCCCATTTGGGGGTATTCGAGAGGCAACTGATCGCTGTTTCTCTCCCTCTCTTTCTCCCTCCTTTCCCCTCTAAAAGTAAATAAAAATTGAAATAAATAAAACTAGGAAAAGTTGGACTACTATTTATCGAGCATCTAGTGTGTGTCAGGAATTGTGCTACGCATATTATTTATTATATGTCACATGTCTTAGCTAACATTATGGTAGACATTATTGTCACCATTTTATAGATGAGGAAGTGGAAGGTCAGAAAGGTCACGTCCACAGTCTTCAGTCACTCTTCTGGTGAGTGGATGAGGCAGGGGCAGAGGCAGGAGTTGAAGGGACCCAGGGCTGCCATGCAGAGAGCCCTGATCCTAGTCTCTGAGCTCAGGTGAGGAAGGAGTTGATACACCTGGTCGCTGCGCAGGTCCATCTGACCACTGTGATGACAGTTACAATAGGGTTTCTTAGGCACTAACTTAGAGCGGAGACAAGAGAGTTAGGATGGGGAGATTTTGAGAGCTTTGTTTTTTAGAGGAACTAAGAACATTTGGCCTGGAGAAACCTGAGGGGACATTTGAGCATCGAAGGAGGGAAATTCTGTATAGAGGGTCACTGTCATGAACATTTCATGTCTATGTACCACCCTCTGTCTGGCAGCATACTGGTGCTCCCCTCTCCCCCTGGCTCACCACCTCAAGCCCTTCAGGCCCCTGGCAGGGCTTGGCAGTGCCTCTCTCCCCTACCCATCCGCTCTACACTCTATGTCCCCCCCCCCCCCCCGCACCTGGTAGACATTTCACACCCTTGCTGATGGCACTTCTCACCCCTTCTGGCTGGCCTGTCTGCTCTAAGTTTTCTCACTTCCATCCTTGCCAGTCTGCCACCAACAGAGAAATTATCTGATACACTTCTACAGTGTCGCCCTTGGCTCAGAAACCTACGCTAGCCCTTGTTCTACTCCTCCCTCTAAGTGAGCTTTCTCTTCTTGACTTCTACTGCTTTCTCTGGGCCGCCCTGCCCCTCTGCCTTTGCCTTCTGCCTGGCCCTTCACTGTCCCGAGTGTGTCTCTTCTCTCCATGCCCGGGATGCCCCAGCTCCACCCCATCCTTCAAGGGCTCACCCCACCCTGTCTGTGGAGGTTCTCGGGAAACATCCCTCTGCAGGCAGCTCCAACACTCACTCTTTGTATCTCCCAGTGTAACTCCTCACTCTTCTCTGATTGTGTCAGACATGTCTCTTTCCTCAGCCTTTAGGTGTCTTCCTAAGAACAGGTCCAATTCATTCAGAAAATATTTTCCATGTGGCTTTCCACTAGTGCCTGTGTGCCGGGCACTAGTCCGAATTCAATGTGGCAGCAGGCAGCTTGGCCTTCACTCTGGTCGATATTTCCTTCCACATCCTGTAGTTCTTTAGTTGAGTGGGGCCGAGGAGGGCCAGAAACTTGAGCCTGAGTCCTCTATGTTTCCTGGAGTGGATGTGTTCTTGTAGGCCTGGACCTACCTTGAGTCCAGACGGGCCTGGCATCCAGTGGGGGAAGGAGGCTGCGGATTACAGTGGGAGGCATGGCCAGCTCTCCTAGAGAATGTGACCCGACGTCACCCCACGTCGGAGAATAAAATAACAACAGCTGTAGCCTTCAGAGTAGAAAAAATAATATCCAACATCCTACTGATCTCTCATAGTGACTCTCATTTTTAAATCTTTGTCCATTTCCAAGTTTTTGCCTTAGATGATTTGAATGTGGGGAATGCCTTGGACTGTTTGTAAGCGAGAGGCTCTGCCCTGGCTGGTGTGGCTCAGTGCACTGAGTGCCAGCCTGCAAACCAAAAGGTTGCTGGTTTGATTCCCAGTCAGGGCACGTGCCTGAGTTGCAGGCCAGGTCCCCTGTTGGAGCACGCGAGAGGCAACGAATTGATGTTCCTCTCACACATCGATGTGTCTTTCGCTCTCTTCCCCTCACTCTAAAAATAAATAAAATCTTAAAAATAAAGTGAGAGGCTCCAAATAATAGGACCTTGTTGAGTAATCTAGTCGTCGTGATAGGGTTGATGATCGTTGACTGAGGAGCAGGTAGAGACAAGTGCAGCTTCCCCGCTCTCTTTGTTACCCCTCCTTGTTCCTCAGTTTCTACTTCTGGCCTGGGAGCACACCCATCTGCCATGGTTTGCTGTCTCCTTTTGAGACAAATACTGCTTTTCTAGCTCGTGAACAAATACTGACCTGCTTAGGTTTCAGATGCTACCCCTTGAAACGCCTGCTGGGCTAGATAAACACACTGGGGTAACAGCTCTTGAGAATAGGTTGCTTTTGGATAGGCTGTAATGCAACTGACACACTCACTGAGTCCTTGCAATGGTCAGCACTGTGCTGGCCCCCCGGGGCTCAGATTCCAGGCGGACAGAGGAAGGGCCCTGGGCCCTGGCTTCCCTCTGGGAGCTTGTGGCCCAGTGGGGAGGTAGGAATCACGAACGGGGTGTGCCTGGGCTTGTGTGCAAGGCACCTTCAAGGATCCTGAGTGAAGATTCTTGCCCGAGTAGGCGGTGGTCCTCAGTGTCCACTGTATCCCTTCCTTTTCTGTGGTTTTAAGTGGAATTCAGTCTAGTGCCAAAGTGTCTGCGGCAGACAATGGGAGATATGTTTTGGCAGGAAAGGGAGCTTGGCCAATGATCTGTGGGGAGGAGATGAGAAGAGGGATGGGCTGCGAGGGGTCTAGACTGGGAGGAGGGAATCGATGTGGTTCGTTAATCTTCTTGTGTTCGTCTCCCTGACCCACGCCTCGGCCTGCTCCTGGACCTTCTGTTCTCCCCAGGACCTCCTGCCCCAGGTCTTTTTCAGTTGCATGTGTCCAAAACGCAGTTCCTTTCTTGTGACCTAAAGTTTTTTTCTTCGCCCCATCCTCTCAGTGCCCCGCAGCTCAGACTCTGCACCTCCCTTCTTAGTCCTTTGAAACGAGCTGGGTACTTTTTTCAGTTAGAGCTGCTGCCTGGGCTGGGGGACCCAGGACTTGATCTCATCTGTGTGAGTTGGACCCCAGTGAAGACCCTGGCTAGCTGGAAGGCTGGAGGTCAGTGGCCAGGAAGGCTCAGATTCCAGGCAGAAAGGGAGACAACTTCAAGCACTGACGTAGGAGCAGGTTAGGCCAGAAGGCAGAACTGGCTTGACCAGTCAGAGGCCCAAGGAGGGAGATCTGATCTCAGCTGGTGTCTGTGGATTAGGCAGAAGCTATGATGTGTGATGGTCCGAAATTACCATTCTAGCTCAGTGGAGTAGATTTTTCTTTTTGGCCTCTAACCAAGTAGCTTGGTTCCTCCTCTCTGCTAGGGGAAGCCATAGGGCAGGTGTGCACTCGTTAGAGGCCATCCTAGAGCAGGTAAGCAAAGTGTTTCCTTTGTGGGAGGGTGGGGTCCTGGGAAGGTCCCATCCTGGGGGCACCTTAGAGGAAGCTGAGTTGCTGGAAACCAAGGCTGACTAGGGCCTGCCTTGATGGGCAAGAAGAGGGGCCTCTGAGACCAAGGTGAGCCGTACACGCTTGGGAGGCCGGCCCTTGACTCCACACATATAGTAAGTATTCTTACACGAGAGAGCCGTTTCCCCTACCATACATTACACACATGTGCGCATGCCCACACACACAGTGGGAGCAAGGAGACCTTTAGGTCTCAGGACCAGATGAGGGCCAGGTTGGGGGTTCATTCAGCTCTGACCTTGGGTTTGGTACCCAGGCAGGGAAAGAGTTGGAGCGGTGCCAGCAGCAGGCGGACGAGGTGAAGGAAATCATGCTCAAGAACTTTGACAAGGTCCTGGAGCGTGATGGGAAACTGGCAGAGCTGGAGCAGCGTTCAGACCAACTCCTGGACATGGTGCGAGGCCTGGGGGAGCAGGGAAGTGGGGAGGCTAGGAGCCGTCAGAGGGAGCTGTTACGCTGTGCTCAGGGTCTCCAGGCCCTTGCTGGGGGATCTGAGGGCCAGTGTGGGCCTATGGGTTTCTTGAGGCACCCCTAGCCTAGATATGCAACGGATAGGCCGTAGTTTGAAGTTGTGGAGCTTCCCCAAGATTGAGGACTGACACTGTTAACTAGGGGCAAACCCACAGGGCTGCAAGTCAAGGGCCACACCGGTGTCTGAGACCAGGAGGAGTCAGGCTGGGAGGATCCGAGGGCAGGGTGTATGGGGAAGGATGCAGGAGGAGACTACATCTTGCTGTGGTGGGGTTGGGAGGATCTGGCTCTGGGGCTCTGTGGAACCACTAACTCCCATCCTGTGTCTGGGGGCATCCACAGAGCTCAGCTTTCAGCAAGACAACCAAGACCCTGGCCCAGAAGAAGCGCTGGGAGAACATCCGATGGCGTATCTACCTGGGGATGGCGGTGGGCATTGTCCTGCTCATCATCCTGATTGTGTTGCTGGTCATCTTTCTCCCACAGACAAGTGAGGGCAGCAGTGCCCCACAGGCCCAGGATGCAGGTGCTGCCTCAGGGCCTGGGGACTGACCCAGTTGGGCCTGGAGGAGAGGCCAAATGGCCTCAGTGACTGGTTCTGGTCTCCAAAGAACCTTGGCATTTGCTCCCACCTGAGCCACTGCAGTGAGCGCCCAATGGCAGCTCCAAAGTGTGCACCTTTGCATCTCCTATCACGCCACACACTGGCCCTTGAGGGCAGCCTGCTGCACTGGCCATGCCAGTCTTGCCCCACTTGGAGCTCAGTAAATGCTGCTGCTTGGTTAAAAGCTGCTGTTTGATTAACAGCTGGTGGGTGGGTGGGGTGTGTGTCTTTCAAAGTCTCCGGTTTGTTCATTTTGCTCTGTGTTTACCCCTTAAGCTACTTAGAAAGGCTACCAACCGAAGGGCTCTATTCTTGGGAAGTGGCCCCTTCCTCTCACTTCCTTACTGATCCAACCCTACACAGACAGGTGTAAATGCACAACTGCCCCCAAATGAGACCCTTCAAGTGTTGCCCTCTGAGCTTGTTTCCCTGAGAATGAAAGCTGTTATTATTCATTCTGGGGAGGCTCCGAGGACCAATGGCACTGCAGATGGGATGGAAAAGAGGAAAGTACTTCAAAGATTTTTATATCACGAGGCTCTCACCTTCAGATAGACTTTTTGTTCTCTGAAGACTTCCTCCTCCCCAGTTTCTCTGCTCATGTTTTTCATCAAGCTCTTTTAAAAAAATTCTAGTTTCTCTGTGGGCATTTTTTAAAAGACTTTATTTATTTATCTTTAGAGAGGAAGGGAAGGAGAGAGGGAGAGAAACATCCATGTATGGTTGCCTCTCGTGAGTGCCCTGCTGGGAACTGGCCTGCAACCCAGGTATGTGCCTTGACTGGGAATCAAACCGCAGTCGTGTGGTTTGCAGGCCTGCACTCAACCTACTGAGGTACACCGGCCAGGGCTCATCAAGCTTTACATCAGATCACAGATGAGGCAGGTGGCAGTGGAAACAAAAAGGGTCACTGTGGTGCTGTGATACAGTCACAAAGGGTGACCTAGGGTTTACCCTGTAGGAAAGAATTTGGAAGTCCTGGCTGGGGAGCTCAGTCGGTTAGACCGTCATCCTGATACACCAAGGTCGGGGGTTTAATTTGGGTCAGGGCACATACAAGAAGCAGCTGACCAATGAACGCATCGATGAGTGGAACAACAAATTGATGTTCCTCTCTCTCTCCCTTCTTGTCTCTCTAAAATTAAAAAATAAAAAAAAGATAGGCCTGGCTGGTGTGACTCAGTGGATTGAGTGCCGGCCTGTGAACCAAAGGGTCACCAGTTTGATTCCTGATCAGGGCACATGCCTGGGCTGCAGGCCAGGTCTCTGGTTGGGCACCTGTGAGAGGCAACTGATCAATGTATCTCCCTCACATCAATGTTTCTCTCCCTCTCTTTCCCTTTCTCTAAGAAGTAAATGAATAAAATCTTTAAAAATAGATAAAAAGTAAAAAATACTTTAGAGAAAATAGAGAATTTGAGCTTTTTAAAGCTCCAGGGCCAAACAGGGCCAAGTAGGCAGTGACTTCAGTGACCACAGGAAAAAAAAAATCTTTGGGTAAAGGCCACAGAAGAAGGAAGGAAGCCCTACTGAAACCTCAAAACCGCGGAAACACGGTAGCACATTCCTCAGGCTACTTAACTGCATTTCCAACTCAAGTGGGAGTGGGAAAGTGAATTCAGGGTCAAGGATGGAAGAAAAGTTTCTTATTAGGTAGAGGGAGGACTATTGACAGAGAAACTAAAAAACCCAGGAGCTGCGTGGACCCCTCACAGAGCTCATGATTTCAGTGGCAGAGTAGAGGGGAGCGAGGAAAATTTCTTGCCAAGCAGAATGGGGAAACTGAGACGGACAGCTGAACAAACTGACTGAGCAATTTACAGCCAGGTACAGAAGGTCACCAGGAAAGCTTCAGGTGCCTAGCAACGGGCAAAACTGGTGCCAGACCTCACCCACAGGGTGGCCTTTCTTTCCCTGTCATATTGCTGGCCATGCAGTTTAGACCTTCCTGACCTTTCCTCCCTAGAGAAAATATCTAGGCCTCAATAGCATTGCAGCTCCAGGCCCAGAAAAGCAGCAAAACCAGGTGGCAGGTCAGGATCAGTTTCAATGACTAATGACTCCTGGCCCAATTAATAGAAACTGTGACCTTGAGAAGACACACCTGGAAAAGCTGATGAATATTCTATTGAGTTCCTTCCCTAAGATCTCCTCTAAACTCCTAGCCTTTAAAACCTTAAGACGAAGGATCTAGCACACACTCTCCCTTTCGGCCCGGTGCCTTTCCCTTCTTCTCACCCCGCCCCATAGGCATGCATCTCCTGAACTCTAAGGGAACACATGAGACATGCAACCAGGGGAGCAATGGGTAGCAGCAGCAGCTTGTCCCAAGCTGACCTACCTGAACCTGTGCCCAAAGCACCCCCCCTTTTTTCTGACTTTCCAGTGAGCTAAAAGCAGCCCTGCCTCAGTTCACTTCTTTCCCATAATGTTTCTCGGGAGCCAAAGCAGGCCTTCCCGGGCTGTCACCTGTTGCTTCTTCCATCCTAAGCCCTTGTTTCACTGTTCCCTGCTTTAATAAACATACTCTTGAAAATCACCTGGACTTGTGTTGTGAAATCTTTCCTGCATGAAGGCAAGAACCCAAAAGTTACAGGCTGGTCTGAGGCAGACTCACTCTGGGCTGGCTCCTGACCTGTAACACTTCCACTGGGCGTACTACTGTCTTCCTTCCCTGGGAAAGATGGGGGAGAGCACTTGGCCTTCATTTGGATCCCATGTGAATTTGGGCAAGCCACTTCCCTCACCTGGATTTTTTGTGTGTAAAAAGGGATAACAACACTTAGCTCCCAGGACAATTGTGAGGTTTATACTGTGTATAAAATATCCATCCATCAGTGAACGTTCTAGATGCCAAGCAAATGGTAGGTATCATCCAAATCATTTACTGTTCAACTCTGCCTCATGTTGGAGTCACCTGTGAACTTATAAAACTATCACACCCAGGTCTAGATCAGTTAAATCAGAATCTTTGAGGGTTAAGTATCAGACTTTTTTTTCCTCCTGAAGCTGCAACCTCTCCTCTTCTCCAGAAGACTCATGGGTAGCCAGGGATGCAAACTACGTATTTAATTCAAGCCCCTACAGGAGCTAGGGGAGAAGTTAGCAATGGGCTTAAGGTCACACTGATCGTCTCATGAGCTGGTAAGGCCCCGGGTTCCCCAACAAATATCCCTCTATTGGTTGGGGAGGTTTGCTACCCACCCTTTACTTTTGTCCCTAAAACAAAATAAATGAGCAGAAAGTTTTGGGATTTTCTTTTGGGTGGGGGGCGTCGGTTCGGGGAGGAATCAAGCGCCAACTCCTGAACCAACTAGAACTCAGGGGTTCATTAATGCCCGGTGGGTCTTGGGCAGAGCAGTGAGAAGCGCCCTGACTCCGGGCTCTTCCGCTAGTCTCTTAGACCCCTGAGCCCCGGGCCAGCGTCTCCTTTCTGAGTGACCTTCAGCATCTGCACCGCTAAAGCACCCTGAGCCACAGAACTGACTGAGGACCCCTACAGCCCGCTTAGCTTTTCAGGACGCCGTGGGCGCGGTCTACACGTCACTCCCACGTACCTAAGTATTCCAGCCTCAGACTCAAGTTTTGTATTCAGCCCCAGCCCCTGCCATTGGCTTTTGCCTTTGGCCACCTGACTTATTTAAGCCAATGAGAGGTGAGAAAATTAATACTTCCGCTTTCTGTTCGCCTAATGAGCCACTGCGTTCACCTTTCGGATGCTATGATTGGCCATCTTCTCTTACCTCGCCAGCTTATTGGCTAGTACTGCGAAAACGTAGTGCGCAGGGTCCGAGAGCTGCTGTGTCAGACAGCTGGGCTGCCATGGCGTCCTACTTTGAGGAACACGACTGCGAGCCCACGGACCCGGAGCAGGAGGCCCGAACTAACATGCTGCTGGAGCTCGCTAGGTGGATGGCCGAGGCTGGGAGGTGGGGCCAGGCTGCAGGTTTCTGGGTTGGGGCTGGCTGGAGAAGACGGATTATCTGGGGTAGCAAATTCTGGGGAGGACGGATGAATGATCTGGAGAGTTAAGTCTGGAGGCCAGATATGAGGGAAGTCGATCATTTGAATCGTCCTTGGGCCCCCCGGTTAAGGGGATTCTGGGAAAGACTGGATGGAGTAGAGGGAGTTGGTGAGGGGAGGGCAGCGTGCACTAGTATGTGCTGGAGGAGAGCCATGGGGGCGGGGTAGGGGCCGTGTAGGTGTGAGGAGGTACATTGGTTAGGAACACTGGGCACGCGGACGCTGCCAAATGGAATCTGGCTTTACCAGGTCATTCCTGGGTGGCCTGAGTAACTTCTCTGAGCCTTTTGCCTCAAATGTAAAATGAGAATAAACAGCTTGAGTGCTTGAGGTTGTCTGATAGCAGCTGTAAACTATTTCTCACTCTGCTTTTAATCTAGTGAGCACTACCGATTGGAGGTAGCTAAATTATTACCACTAGCTGGACAAGGTATTTACCTGCTGATGTTGAGTGCTTTGTGGAGGCAACGAGGAAGTATGGTTTTCTTTGATTCCCACCTTGTGTCTTTCTTCGCAGGTCACTTTTCAATAGTATGGACATCGAAGGCTTGGGATTGGTAGTAGATTGGGATCACCACCTGCCTCCACCTGCTGCCAAGACTGTGGTTGAGAACCTCCCCAGGACAGTCATCAGGAACTCTCAGTCTGGTGAGAACACTGTTTCTGTTTTTTGGGGGCAGGTCCACCAGACCCCTTCCCCCACAGTCCCTTTCAAGCCAGATTGTGCACTGGTCCTTCAGTTTTCCAGGCCAGGTTGGGGCAAGTGTCCTGGGGGAGCTGGGAGGTGGGGCCTGTAGCAGCTGTCCTGATCAGCGCTCCCTCCTAAAGAGCTCAAGTGCCCCGTGTGTCTTTTGGAATTTGAGGAGGAGGAGACTGCCATTGAGATGCCTTGCCATCACTTCTTCCATTCCAACTGTATTCTGCCCTGGCTGAACAAGGTACTGCTTCCTTTCTCCCAGCCTTCACTCTGCCCAGTTTTCAAGCCCCTTTCTTTTTATGAACTGTTGGGGAATCAGAGAAGGAAGAAGCTCAGGGTGAGAAGTGGGAGTAGGGGATGGATATTAGCTTCGAAAGATCAGACCTGGGCTGGAACAGTTTTACCTAGTGTTTTTATTCCTGTTTTACCCAGACAAATTCCTGTCCCCTGTGCCGCCATGAGCTACCCACTGATGACGACACTTACGAGGAGCACAGACGAGATAAGGTAGGAGCTGGTGGTAAGTGGAGGAGGTGGTAATAGGGCTCCCTCAGGCTGTTCTTGATCTCCCACCTCAGCATGCTTGGGTAGGTCTCGGGTCCCTGACTCTGGCTGTGTTCCCTGTGACTTTGGTGAGGGGCATCTCATGTCAGGGGCCTGAGAACAGTGAGAGCTAGTTCCACCAAAGCTGCCATCCCTTCACCTACAAGCCCTCAGATATGGCCCCTGCCTCTTTCCTTCAGGCTCGCAAGCAGCAGCAGAAGCACCGACTGGAGAACCTGCACGGAGCCATGTACACATGAGGTGCCTGGGGCTGAGAAGTGGTCCTCATCTTCCTCCTGTACCTTGAATCCTCATTAAAGGTTTCTTTACCTACCCTGTGACTGCATTGCACACAGGACTGGGCAGGGGTTCTGCACCCTCACAAGGGCCCTACTGCTATTGGGGAAGGTGGGCCTGGACTACAGAAGACACTAGGATATACAACTTTCCCTGCCAAGCCTGCTGGCCTGAGGGCAGTGGAGGCCCAGGTCAAGAACCTGGCCACTGGACCAGCTAGGGCTTGAGCCTATGTGTTTGTGGCCAGAAAGCAAAATATGTCATGGTCTGGCACCCAGCAGACATTTAAAGATGCATCCCTTTCCCCCTGCAATTTTTAGTCAACCTTGGAATCCCACGCACTTTCTTCTTGCTTCTAACATTTTTAAAGCTGCTCTTTATACACCCCTCTGCACCCCCATCCCCTTATACTAAGGAATCAAACTTCAAACCAGACTTTGAGTGGGTGAAGGAAGTGTGGAATGATCAGATCAGTCAGTTCTTTAAACTGCTTAAAAGCCCAAACAGGGCTTCAGGCTCTTGAGGGGTGTTTGGCTAGCACCTGCCATCCTTTGTTTCTGGCAGCCCTGCTCTCAGAGTGCTGGGCACTCAGGACTCTTTCCAGGGGCACGGGCTTCCTCCTGTTCTTTCCTAGGGAAAGCTGCCCTGAATCAGGCCCTCTCACTCTTCAGAACAGACTACAAACATGCAAATTAGAATTCTTTTAATAGATATATATATATATACATATAAAAGTACTAAAATATCCACATGGTTCTGCTGTTATTTGCCCTAAAAAAAGTAAGGGGCACAGTGAAGAATCCCAGGGCCCAAAAGTGGGCCTTCCCACATACTAAGGCATGCCCCTACCCCCAGCACTTTTATCCTTGCCGTTCCCAGCCCCCAATTCCTGCAGCACGAAACCCCAGTGATCTGGCCCTGCAACTGGGGAATAGAAGGCACCTGAAGGGTTGGCTGGGTGACTGCGGATATGTGACCTTTAAACAGAAACAGTGGGGGGCGGGTCATGCACAGCTTAGGCAGCTGCCAGGGCCCGCTCCTCTATGGCACAGGTGGGTGTGGGATGGCTCCTCGTCCAGGGGCAAGGAAGCCTATATCCCAACAGAATACTTTCTTAAAATTGTTTTTGGTACAAAATAAATGCAAAGAAGACATAGGCAGGGAGCAGTGGAGGCTGGGCCAGCCACCCTCCCCAGACCTCAGATCATGGCTATGCTCTCAGGGGCACAGTTGAGGTGAGTGGAGGTGCTGGTGCTCCCGGAGGACTTGCAGGCCCGGCCAGCAGGCTGCAGTGCAGCCACCAGTGTCTCTGAGGAGACTGTCCCAAACTCGTAGCAGAAGGTGCCGTGGAAAATGAGGAGGTCGATGACAAACACCCACTCGCACAGGGCTGCCCCGTGCTGCAGCTGAGAACTCTCATGGACGAAGAAGACGCCGCCTGGAATGGGGCTAAGGAAAGGTCCAGTAGGATGTGTGGGGGACTGGCAACACACCTACCTTCCCGGATCTGTAACTATGCTGGGACAAAGGACTAGGCCTGACATCTCAGGAGAGGGTGTGGAAGACCACACTGGGCAGTGTTACCTGGAAGGTGTGCCATTCTCTCCCCATCCTGGGTGAGAGAAGGGCTGGGCTATCTTGGAAGGATACTGAGGATCAGGGCGACAAAGGCGATGGCTGCCAACACAATCCTCAGGTAGGCCATAGCCAGGTCCTGGGGGGCGGTGGCCCCATGGTAGGAGAGGACACAGTGCAGGCAGACAAACAGCAACCCGGCCGGCAAGGCCACACCGGCTCCGATGTAATGCAGAGACTTGGCATGATCCACCTAGGCCCAGAGAGAAGGCTTATCAGTTTAGTAGCCCTGTTTCTCTGACCCCTTCATAGCTCTTCTTTCTCTTCCTTTTTCTCCCAGGCCCTGCTTCCCTCACCCCCAACCCTGAAGGGCTACCCCTGTATCTTGGGTCAACCCTCAGGAGACTGAGGGTCCCAGCAGACAGCCTACCCTTTTAGGGGAAGTTCAAGAGGTGGATAGGTGGGTCTACCTGAAAGTTCCCGACCACCACAAGGCCTGCAGCATTGGTGCAGCCTGTGATGAGTGTTGTGGTGTTAATCCAGGAATGCCGACTCTGCTCCAGGAGCTGCCCGTAGAGCAGGAGGCCGAGCAGGGCCACTGGGGAAGAAGAGCATGAGTGGAGCCTGCTAGCTCTCACCCCTTCAGACATTCTGAGAGCCACAAGGGAATAGATGGGTGGGTGGTGAACTGGGTTTCCTCAGGTTCCAGCCAGCAGAGTGGCTGTGTGGGAGTCAGCCTCTGACTTTCACGAAACGGGCAGAAGTGGCCCCTCTTGCTTTAGCCCTTGGTTGGGTGGGCTTGGCAGGGCAGCCCTTGGTAAGCAAGGGCTTCCTGGGGGGAGAGTGCGAAGGGATGGGTTGGACCGGGCTGGCTAGGGGGGCTAAGGGCACAACTCACCCATGAAAGCACCCACGTTGCCAATGAGGCTGAAGAGGCAACTCTCTGGGGGATATGTGCCGCACTTGCTGAGGGGAGGGGGGCAAGGACAAAGTGAGAGAGGGGCAGGAGCACCAGAGGGGCCCCCCTTCTGGCCCACTTGCTTTCTCTGTGCTTGATTTAAGCCACTGATTTATGAGAAAGACCACTGTTTCTTACAAACTGGTCCCAGGCTGGCACTCCCTCCCCTCCAAATAAAGCAGAGCTCTTGTGTGACAGGTTGGAAGTACCCAGGATTGCTGGGCAGACCCCGAGACTTCTTGGACTCCCCAAGACTGTCGAGGTCTGTAGCTGGTCTGGCTGTCCTTGAGCCAGATCTTAGGCTGGGCAATCAGAGGGCTTGAGCTTAAATCTAGCTATCTCTACTTAACAGCTTTGTGACCTAAATGGACGACATACCTCAATTTCGGTTTCCTTGCCTAGAAAATAGTGAAAACAATAGCTGCCTCAGTGCTGAGAGAATTAAATGGCGTTATTCATGTAAAGCATTCAGCACAGTGCCTAGCACACAGTAACTGTCAAGGAGCACTGTTATTAAGTGCTCTTAATAATAATTATTATTCCTGTGAGACCCTTTGGGACAGGCCTTTGCTTGGCTGGGAGTCTATAGGTGCCTTGGATCTCTGATCTGCCCTGTTCCCAGGCCTTACCTGATGAGGGGGACATCGTCCAGGGTGCAGCAGGTCTTGGGACCCCCTTGCTCAGCGGGGTCAGGAGAGCAGGACTCGTTGTAAGACCTGGAAGGCAGGACAGAGTAGATTGGTGGAACTGGGTTTCCCTAACCACTCGGCCTTTACTTCAGATACCACCCTATCAGACCTTCTCCCTTATCAGGGAGCAGAAGAGCCCACTTCTCAGGGCCTGTTTGAGACAAAGCCAAAGGGGCAAAGGGATGGTGGGAAGCAGGTAAGTGGGCACAAAGCCATGCCTGGGGAGGGGCAGGCGCGCCAATGTCAAAGAAGAGCAGTGAGGCTCAGGGTCTCCGTCTGGCTTGCAGCAGCCCTGGCCCAAGAGGGAACAGAGATGAAGGGAGCTTTAGAGTGAAGCTGTCTGCAGAGTGCGCCATACCAGTTCTCCACAGGGCACACGTGGCGGTTCATCACGGCCATGGCATACCTGTGGGAGCAGAACTGTCATCTGACGACCCTCCCAGCCAAGCCCAGCCTTCCCCCACTGACCACTGTTTTTTCTCTTGATTCTGGCTCCATTTAGCCTCATTGCCTAGCTAGGGATTCAAGCTGGGGTGGCCCTGAGGCCTGATGCCACACTAGAACCCACAGCATGGCTGCAAACGAGAGGATCTCTGGAATTTGCTCTTGACTAGCAGTAGGTCTGTCGGGGCCACCTTGCTGGACAAATTGTCCCAAGCAACTGACTGCATGCCCAGGCATCAGGCCAGGCTTTGGAGACAGAGTGACCCTGGATATCACCCTGGAGCCTGCAACAGGACAAGGGACTTTGTGTGTCCCATCAAACTCCTGTCCTTCCTCAGCCTGGGCCCATTTTGTTTCCTTGCTGTCTCCCCCCTCCCCCTCTTTACTTACACAGTCCATAGGCCAGTGATGGAGAATGCTGACAAGCTGACAGGAAGGAGGATCCAGGCGGTCATGGGGGGGGGGAGCCAGGGTGGTAGTGGTGTGGGAGGGATGACAAGAGGCAGGTGGGGAGGAGGGGGCAGGGCCAGCTACCTTAAGATACTTCTCCAAAACCATCAACTGCCCCAGCCTGGTGGAGAGAGAGGGGTCAAAGTCCAGGGTCCAGTGAATGGCTAAAGCCCTAAGAGGCGGGGGTGTTAGGGCATCACCCGATTCGGGACACCCACTGGAGCTCAGAGTGCCCACACTTTGGGTTCAACCCACACCAGAATGTGGTCACCTCTGGCACCCACCGGGGCCTCTGTGTCCCACCCAAAAGCCACCGGCATGCTCAGGGACTCAGGCGGCGCCATAACATCTGCACAGGTAGTAGTCACCCTTGCCTGAGGTAGCCAGGCTGGACGCCCCGCTACAGTTAGGACGGTCTAGGGGCCACGCCAAAGAAAGCCTGGAGGGTATCCAGGCCCGGTAGGGGCGGCCGCACACAGACAACCACGCGACTACGGTACCCTGGGGAAGGGCGGGCTCAAGCGGGAATCCCAGCCCGGCCCGCGTGGGCGCCTGGAGCCCGTGGCCAGCGAGACTCTGGACCCGGGAAACAAGCCTTCTTCGGTGATCCTTGGGGGTCCTGAGAGAAGTAGGGGGCCCAGTACGCACCTCCCCAAAGCGCCCTGCGGCTGCCGCACACTACTCAGTCCGGCGTGGCGCCATCCGGGGCTGCGGCCCTCAAAGCGGCCCTGCAGGTTTAAAGGGCCGGCGGCCACGCCCCCAGCCCAGGCCGCGTTGCACCGCGCCGCCCGCCGGGACCTGGAGTCCCTGCCCCGCGGGCCCGTGCTCTGCTGCGGACTACAAATCCTGAGCCCCAGCGCAGAGACCCGTGCAATGGACGTGCTGCCCAGCCTTGGGGACCCGGGCACGAGGACTCCGGCAGCGGCTGTGACTCCGAGATGCCGAAAGGATAGTCCTGGTTTCCGTTCCTGCAGTGGAAGGTTCGGGAGGCGGGAAGCCGGGGGTGGGGCAGCACCTTCCAGCACCACTGGTGATCGTCATTGTGCACGTGGCTGGAGGTAGCCTCCCTCCGCCTCTGGGTACATTCCGCGGCAGGGAAGGGCGGACAATTTAGACTCTGGGTCACTCCGGGTCATCTCCCTCATCGTGGCGCCCCGTGTCTGCCTCTGTCCCAGGCTAGGTGTCTCGTAGAGAAGCCTTAATTATTCCTTAAGGTCAAGCACCCATGATTTGACTTATGCTTGCTCGGACATAACAAATTTTGGAGGGTGCTACTTTCACCGGATACATTTTCAAGGGTACAAGTACACATAGTATTACTGTCCAGAAGTCAGTGTCGAAAATATGTTACCCCACTGTTCAACACTTAACGCAGAGACCAATTCTAAATGGACACACATGGCCAGGTGTTGGTAATGCAATAGAGGAAGGTGGGAGACCCAGAGCAATTTAAGAAAAGGAAGCAGGATATTGTGGAAATAAATTACCTACCAGCTTCACCAAAACCTACAGGGCAAGAGTGCCCTCCTTGTTCTTTCCCTAGTTAAAAGCGCGGAATACTTCTTTGAACATACCGGAAGGGTGCCTGGAACTCTAAAAGGAAGCCCGGCATCTGTTGGGAGGTTTTGTGAGACGACACTGGCGCCAACAAATCATTATCTTAAGAGCATGGGCCCAAGCTGCCAGGAGGCAGGGAGTTGTGAAGTCCCACAGCATTGGTGAGGCAAAGGTAACTGTCCAGTACTGTGAGGAAAAGGAAGCAGATAAGCTGGACAATGGCTTGAAAAAAGAAAACTTTTTTGGATCTAGTGGCAGTTAAAATGGAAAGAGGAAACCTGTTGGAGACCTTTTCCAAATCACATCAGGACAAGTAGTGGAAGCGTGGCTGTACTGATTACAAGATGACCAGGCTGGACCAACCAGTGGGGTGTAAAACTCAGTCCAGCTGCTGCTGGCTGTACTCCGTGCCCCAGGACAAAGGGGTCCCTCTTTTCTATTCACAGGCTCCATCGTCTTACTCAGGTGTGTTTCTCTGCCCAGTGGTGCTGTGAACCCTCACCTTATCCTACTTCATCAGTAGCTTTGCCATTGTTAATCAACAGTTTCTTATTGATCTGGGTTTGGGTTCCTGTCCAACCTTTATCTTGGGGTTGGCCCCAGAGGACTACTCAAATTCTCAACTGGCTGTTTTAAAATAAACTGGGTAGACATGCACTGTAGAGCTGTGACAAGAAGGACGATTTTGGCTTAATATGACATTATGAGTAGTCCCTAAAATAGAATTACCCCTCAAAATGGAGCTCCCTGGGACTAAAAGGCTCTTCATGTGTAGTTGGTAAGGGAGGAGTCATGTATCAGACAAGTAGGACCAGATGTCTTTAAAAGTCCCTTCCAGCTCCAAAGCCACATGTTATGTTCCTACCAGGACAGTTCTTAAAATAGGCTAAAGCAAGAGATAAGATTTCAAATGCTGATTCTGTGGTGCTGAATGATGTCAGGGGCAGGCATTTAACCTTCACTTTCCTTACACACATAAGTGATTTCACAACTCTTGGCAAAAACAGTGCTGTAAAAATAACGTTTATTGGTTAAAAACAATACTGTCTTTGAAAAGTACCTTCCTTCCAGTATTTTCAAATTATTTGCATACTTCACTTTATTCATCCACAAAGCAGAAACATTGAAATGAGAAAACAGAAGACTATATGGCTTTTTATACATTTAACATCACAGCATAAGCAGTGTGACCAGTCTGCCATTCCAGTGGCTCTGAGAAGGCAGGGGAGCTCTTCACTCAGGTTTTCATTTCTAGTATCACTCCAATTACTGAGGAAATTTGGGGTGGGTGCCTATGGCTTCTTTTTAAAAAAATATTTTACTTACATATTTTGAGAGAGAAGGGACGGGAGACAGAGAGGGAGAGAACCATCACTCGGTTGCCTCTTGTACACACCCCAACTAGGGACTGAACCCGTAACCCAGGCATGTGCCCTGTCTGGGAACTGAACCAGCGACCTTTTGCTTTGTGGTACAGTGCTCACCAACTGAACCACACCCATCAGGGCCTTACAGCTTCTTAGCCATCTAATTCCTCAGGGCGAGGAATTCAAGGAGGGAGCTTAAAATGTTCAAATAATTTTCAACATTCCACTGTGATTCTCCCAAAAGGCTCAGAGGTAGGAAAATAATCTGTCCTTATTTGTCTTTCTATATATAAAGGTTTCATTTATATTGGTAAACCAGTTGGGATGTACTACCCAACCACCTCCAGATCACACCGAATGCACAGCAGGTTGAATACCCACTACCCTAGGCTCACCTCTAGTTGGCAGTGCCCTCAGGGGAGAGAGACTGTGGAGATGGAATGTTCCTTTCAAAGGCTCTTCCATGGGAGAATTTGATACTGCTCACGCTGGTCCTGCTATCTGGCCAGCCTCCACAGGCTCCTACTCTCTTACTCAATACAAAAAGCTTTACATTCTTTTCTTGCTTTTCGTTCGTCAAAGATTTCCATGCTTGCCAACTGGCTGGAACTCCAGCTTCGGTGTTTATTTTTGCACAGCCCAAACCCCTACAAACCCCAGCTTCCTTCTGTACCCCCCACTGTGGCCCAGGAAACACAAAACCTTAAAATCCAAGGCTTACCCTCAGTAAGTGAAGGAACACTTATATAAGATACCTATCAGGCTACCAGACTTTTTTTTTAGATAGCCAAGAATGCATCTAGTCAAGTGGGTGTCGAATCTGCAGCAGCCTGCTGGAAAGCTCCAGCTAGTCCAGCGCGGTTGCCACCGCACCACACAGCACTGGCCAGTCCGTCTGGGAACAGCTAGAGCCTGTGGGAAATGCTCTGAACATTTGTTTCCCTTGATGGCAAAGCACCGATCTGAAAACAGCTGAAAGATGTCTGGAGGCAAGCCTAGTGAATAAACTGGGTCCCAGATAAGGGGTGGCAATAACCAATGAGCCTGTGCTAGAAAGCTCTGATGGCTGAGGGCCATCACCAGAGGAACATTTCAGGCACGCCTGGAGCAATGGCAGCCTCATCGCCAATAATTCTCTGAAGAACAACCTCAGTGAGTACCAGGCTTTGTGATTTATAGTCATACTGCATAAATTCGCTAAGAATTAGAATGCTTTCTTGAATGGAAAATATTTTGTATGCACTTGATAGGCAAAGTGCTTTAAGAAAAAATTTACATGCAAGCAGTTCCCATCAGTTTCTTACCTGAGTGTGTAAGGGTTACATGACAAACACATAAAGACAGTAGGTACATGCTTCCCTTCTCACAAAACAGAATAGAGGCTAAACTTCCAGGTGCTGTGCCCAACCTCCTCTGGTCTTGTTTCTAAATTTCTATAATAAATCCAGGAAGCAGGCCATTCAGCTGTGAGAGGATGGACCCCAAAGGTATTTCCAGGTTGGGAAGCCCAAGAGTTCCAATGAGATTTTATGTCCAAGTCAGAAGAGCAGTTGAAGAGCTGGAAGACTAAAATAACTGGTTCTCTGAGCTGCAGGGAGATTGGGATGATGGCACAGCCTCCTTCACGCAGGAAGCTCTGGAGGGTAGTTAACATTGTTAAGTCAAAAGGCACTTGGAGTCCAGCTGAATAAATAGAGGGCAGACTTTCTCCTTTAAAAGTAGAACTGTGCTCAGGACTGGCAAGGTTAAGGCCTTTAACCTTGGGCCAGCTCTTTGGGTCAGGAGCACTGTGGTCCCTTCACAACCAGGTCTTTTTAACTTATCCACCTCACTCACCTTCTGGCATTCTTCTGTCACTGCAAGCTATAGCTAGCTGCATTTTAACAATGTGCTCTAAGAGTGCCCTCAGGTGTCCTCTAAGAGAAAAACTGCTGAGATGGACCAGCTAGACTGATCTTGAGACCCTGATGTGGAGAAACCCCTGGGGCAGGGGGACTTTGGTTTCAGTAAGTCTCAGTGCTTGTGGGCTCACATAACCCCCAAATTTCAAGTCACTGAGGTTAGGCTAATGTGCTGGAAAACTTAAGTGGCAGGGAACAGAATGGATGCCCTGTGGATTTCTCAGAATTCAGCTTAAACCTGCATTAGGAAAAATGTTCACTTAGGGGAAAGCACTGATATTCCTGGGATGTTTATTCAAAGGATTTGTTGGGAGATTATCTTTTGGAAGATGAAAGGAGAAGGAATGGGGCAGGAATGAGAGACATTCATGTCATTTCCTCTGGGGCATTGTGCCTTTTTAATCTTTGCAACTATGGTTCTAAACAGGCAATTATTGCTGCTGAATTTCTCTTTAACAGTTCAAGACTGTTAAATCACATTTGGAGGGGCAGTTTCAAGCATGTTTTGATAGTTCCCCTTTAGGGGTAAAGTTGAAAGCTAGAATTCTGTAGTCTTAACCAAGGAAGGTTTTGCTACACGAAATTTTTGAAATTTAGTTTTGGCATCATCTTCCTAAGTCTCCTTATCTAGATGGTGCAAAACCGTGGAACCTGACAGATACTTGAAAAAGCCATGGAAGGAGAAAGAGACATGCTTGCAAGTCAGCCTCGAAAATGAACACCACTCCCTGTACTGATATTAGATTACTGGAAGAGCTCATCAGAAAGGTATGCCACCAGGACCCCACACCTCCTCAGTCCTCGGCAGCTGGAGGTGTATAATCACATTGCGAGGCAGGGCGGAACTGATGGACTCTGAGACCAAAAGATGAAGGAAAGAACAAAGAAACAGGAAAAAAAAAAAAGATCTAGAAGAACATGAATGAAAGCAAGCAGATCCACGGTAGAAAGGAACCATAAAGTAACAAACACAGCCCACGGAGCTGGGTGGAGCAGCAGTGCCCAGGTGTCCCAGGGCATATGAACTCATCGAGAAAGCAGCACATTGGCATAAGGCTTCTAAACCTTGGCTCTCCTGGGAGTCTCTGCTCTTAGAACACCAAACTAGCCAAAAATTCTCAAAAATCCCAAATCAGGCTGGTCAAATGGGCCAAAATACAAGAAAAACTGGCTACAAGGGAGTTGGT